TGCAAAAGACAGGAAAATAATGTACAAAAATATCTCCACTTTATCTGAGAAAATCAGTAGCATTTAAAACGTCTAACAGACAAAATATGAGAGCAATAATAATATACATCGGCAAACAACTCAGCATCATGTAGGTCTGTCCATTAGTCTCTGTGGGCTGAAGGAGGCAAGGCAGCTTTGCCTCATCGAACTACGTCCATCAGTGGCCAGTGAGATGGACCACGGGGGCAGACACTGTTATGCCCAGGTTCATGACTCGTGAGCAGAAAGAAGAAAATGTGTCAGAAAACTTTAGGGGAGGGAGAGAGGTGGGAAGTGAAAATAACAACTCTGGAAATCCTGAGGTTCCAGATGAGGCTCAAGGGAGAAAATAAAATGGGGGTTAAGGCAGGTTACACTATAGTAGTAATATAGCTTAAATGCACATTATATTTAATTTTCTCGATGGTTTTTTTTTTTTTTTTTTTTTGACAAGGTCTTGCTCTGTCACCCAGGCTGGAGTGTAGTGGCACAATCATGGCTCACTGCAGCCTCAACATCCCAGGCTCAAGTGATCCTCCCACCTCAGCCTCCTCAGTAGCTGGGACTATAGGTGTGCACAACCACGCTTGGCTATTTTTTGTATTTCTTGTAGAGATGGGGTTTCACCATGTTGCCCAGGCTGGTCTCGAACTCTTGGGCTCAAGTGTTCTGTCCACCTCAGCCTCTCAAAGTGCTGGGATTACAGGCATGAGCCTGGCCCTCAACAGCTTTAATTTGCTGGTTTAAAATCTAGTAAACATCCGGGGAAGCCAGGTGCCAGATCATCCCAGACCTGCTGGAATTTTTTTTTTTTTTTTTCCTTTAGAAAACACAACATGACCAACGACATCAAAATGGCAAATTTGGGAGTAAAATGTGTTTATTTCTAAAAGCTCCCCAATTGGTTGTGGCAGGCAGCCAGGGTGGAGGAACTGCTCTAAGAAGCCACTGTAAACCAATACTTTATTTACGGGTAACGCCTTAGGGAGAGCTAAAGCAGGATTTAGGAAGGGCCAGGAAGCAAGGAGGGCATGAACAGGAGAAAGAAGACTGTTCAAAAGGTTGGGGCAAAGGTATAAATGAAGGCAAATTTACCATCAGGTTGGTTTGGTTATACAAAACCATTTTAGATGTATTTTCTAGATTTTAAGAAAGCAAACCACAAGAAAACCCATCCTTTGCACCATCTTGTTAAAGAGGACTGTTAGTGCATTCACGTTTAGAGAATGTGAGACTTGCCTTGTGGGTGGGATGTGTCCTTTTTCCATGTCTCTTACATCTTTGCTTGTCTTCATGCTCTGATAATGGTCCACCTGTAGCACTGCCACAATTTCACTGGCACTAGGAAGTACTGTCCCCTGCCCACCCGTGCCAAGATGGGCAGGAAGCTGGCATAGAGTGACTCACGGGGCTATGCAAGAGCAGTGCACAGCTGTCTTCTCCACGCCTGCTGAGAGTGCTTAGGTGAACATGCATACGTACTTCCGGCTACCACACAAGTTATCCTATGAAAGGCACACAGAATGGGTAGCAACAGAAAACAATACTCAGACATTTGCATCTTGAAATTTATTTCTGGTGTTTTTCACCGCGCCTCCCCTTCTGTTTCCCCACGTCTGCCCCAGTCTGCTTGTTGAGGCAGATGATGATTATGATAAGTCAATCATTTTTCCTAAGCATGTTCTCATTGATGCAGGGGAAAGGCACCACCGATTTCTTATATTAATCCTCCCGTAAAATTTGAGAGTTGGTTGTGGTGTAATCGCTAATAAAAATTATATTAAAAAAGGATAATCTTTGCAGGGCAATCGGCTTATAATTTAGTTCACAAGAGCAAGTGCCTTTAAATGCATAATTCACTTAAGGCTGGGTCCTCATCTACCCAAACCATATCTCTACTCATTCTTCTCTGAAAAGTGAAGACTGCAGTCTTTCCTTTCCACCTGCACTCCTCCCAGGAAATATCTCCAAGTCCCCCTTGCTTTATTGAGCGTCCACGCCAACCCAGAGACAGCTGTTCTGCTGCAGTAGTCGCTCAAATCACTTGCCTTGAAAACAAATGGGGCGATGCAATATGTTGCATTTGCTTTCCCATAAAAATAAATTGACACAATACAAGCAAGTCTTCTTTCCAATTTAACAGGGCATGAAACTAGTTCGCTGAATGAGGGCACATGCTATAATATGAACTCGAATGGCGCACATCACTAATATCAGGAGAAAGGTAATTATTAATCAGCTTAATTGCTTCACCCAGGAGAAGGAAAAAAAAACCTTGCTGAATAGATGCCCATTGTCTAGATTAAGGTTAGCTCTTTAGTCTTTATTACATTCCAAGCTTTTCCATTAGAACATATGTAATGACATTTTATCATGCTAATACTAGTTCTGAGGTTTCCCCTTAGGCACATAAGATTTTCCTATTAGTATAAAAAATGTGGTGACATGTACTTATCTGTTAGTGTTTTATAGATTTCATAAATAACTGCAAGAAACAAATTTCATCACAGAGTTAAAATATTTAATGACAAAATTAGGATTTGCTGTAATAGTGAATCAATAGAGCAGGTGTTACTTATCTCTGAATTAAACAAAAATTGTATTTGACATCTCAGAGAACTTCTGAAGAATTAATAACTGTACGACAGACATCAGGAGTGTCACAATTTCTAAAATTAAGAGCTAAACCTATCTTTAATGCCCTTTATTTAGGGCATCCTGTAAATAATTTTAAATAGATACACAACCTTTGCTAGCCACAAAAGTAGTATTAAAACAGATTTCACTGTAATTTAAGTCTAACACGTAATCTGAACTTCTTCAAAGCTTGAAAAAAGGTAACTACTGATCATGTTACATTTTACAAATACATTCTTTAATATGAAACATTAACCTGAATAACTGCATACTTTCTGTACACAGGTATCTAATAATACTAGTGAGAAATACTATAGCTATATTCCAGGAAGAAGTGGTAATACTGGAAAGTTTTTTCCTTTATGAGTTGTCCATACAGTAAGTCCTTCACAGAAATATAGTATCCCAAAATTCATAGAGAAGTGCAGAAATGAAACAAACAAACGAAATGTCTTCTGACAAGCTCAGCCAAACAAGCTGGTCCCAAATGATGAGAGTTATTTTGTCTAAGTTAGACTGTATTAATACTTTGTACTGCAGCACCTTCTACAAAAGGATAGCAAAGAACTTCACATGTGTTATCACTGGGCTCCTCTGCAAGAGGCTGGGAGGTAAAGGAGGGGCAGGGATTGCTGTTACAGCCCTCTCTGTTGTGGGGAAGCCTAGGTAGGACTTTTGACACTGAGAGGTCAAAGGTATGAACACAGCCTGGAAACTAATCATTAGAGGGGGCTAATAAAGATTCAGGTGGGCTTTCTTCTAATTCAGGCTATTTCCAATGAGACTTAGGTCTAAAAGGATAAGCAGAGAGGAAAGAGGGCAACTCATGGAATAGTTACATGTATCAAGAGTAACTATTATAATTCTACCAGGGAAGAAGAATCTTGGGTTTCACAGTATGCTTATGACCTCATCCTCAGTTACTTTAGAAGCAGCTTCCCAAACACTGTTGTTAGAGATTTGGCAACTAATTCTGTTCTTGAATTTGGCGGATTGTCAGGGGGTTTTAGATTTATCCTTTCAATTATTTATACCAACTCTCTCTCTCTCTCTCTCTGAAACCAGAATCCCATTTGGAAAGATAAATACATCTCTCTCTCTTTCTCTCTCTCTCTCTCTCTCTCTCTCTGTGTGTGTGTATTCTGAATTGAGGTCTGCAAAGTCTATTTGGAGTGATATTTGGGGCTTTTCCTAGAAATTAAAATAGCTTCCAACAGTACTCACCAAATGGCATGTTCCTCACTTCTTTAAACTTTTAAGACACCAAAAAGAAAGTATAAAATATTATAGTTAACTTATATAGTTTATTAAATTTTATAGAGGGTTTTCTTGAGTTGGATCATCTAAAAGGCTTCTAAAATTTGTCTCCAACAAATCTCATCTCCTTTTTAATGTGCACCGTCTGATATTTTTTCCCCCAACAGACAAACTTTCTCTCTCCCTGGGAATGCTTAGTTAGGAGAACTCAAGCTATTTAAATCAGTATTAACAATCCAAAAATCATCTTATGCTCCTATGTAAGAGGCTGCAATACACATCGACTCAATTGGCAAAATGGATAGGATGGAATAGATAGGGGTCCTGAAGATTCAGGCAGCTTAAAAATCAATGCGCTGCAGTGGTAGGCTTACAATATGTCTGAGATGTGCAGCTTGTCTCCTTGTTTCATAAAAAAGCACGGCTTTTTTATGTTTAGCATTTTAACCCTCTAGGAAACAAAACTTCTAGACTCTAAGCCCCTTATTATCTTGAGTAATAGAAAATCACGAGGTGTGTGACTAACTGTATTGAAACTGACTGCAATGTAAAGGTTCGTGATTGTGCTGTTTTATATCAGACCAGGCAAGGTGCAACTGCCATGAAATGCAATTTGTCAAGAAACTCACAGGTTAAATTACATTAAATAAATAGATAGCAAAAACAACATCAAAACCTCCAAAATCCAGATACCAAGAAACTAAAGGCCCTTTCCCAAGGACATTATGAAGGTGTCTCTAAAATAGGTGTGACTGTAAAAAGACAAGACAAATATTTTAAATGTACTACTTGTTCACATTATCATTGACACAGACCTTTATCTGGACAAATCAATTTTTTGATAAAAATATAAGCGCTTTTCCATACCAGTGACCATCACTATGACAATGACAAGAGAAACATCTGTGAATACACAGAGGGTTTTAGGTAGGCTTTTCTTTAGGCCTTTACTCTCAAATTTTTATCCTTCATATGATAATTCCAAATAAACACCCTGGATACAAGTAGCAAGAGTATTTAAGCTGTAACTCGGGAAAGAGATTTCTATCTGTGATTCTGATTTTTTATTTTTGAATGCAAGTGACGGTTCATGCAAAAGATTACTATGTAAGGAGCAAAATCTAAGACTGCTGTTTTCCCCAATAAATCCAATTGTTTTCTACAATGTAGAATTTTAATCTTCAAATTAAGTGTAGCTAGGACAGTGAGTGAAACTAATCACTGCTTGACTTTCATTTTCATCTAGGAAAAACAACATCTGATGTCACCACATTAAAATGTCTTCCTGCTTAATGTCAGAGAAAAAAATACATGTTGCCAGTTTAGACCCAGCGCAGTTTATCATTTGGTCCAAATTTCACATTCAAACTACAAAAAATATTTTTTAATAAAGAAAACATATTCAAAACATACATATACACACATACACACAGTGGGGGGGAGGGAAAAACCCAAAATGAAGCTGATGCTATTGTAGTATTTATTAGCAAGATCATTAGGGAAGTGTAAAAATGCAACACCTTTTCTTTCACATTAACATCTGAAAAGAAAACACAAAAACCACGCTAAGTGTCCAAATATTGGAAAAAAAGAAGCAAGCGGAGGTCCCGAATTCTTGTAAAAACTGCTGAACAAACTCTTCAGTTTCTCTTAAGAAGGGTCACCAGGATAGGCAGTTTCTCAACATTTGTGCTTCATGGCGAGCTAAGGAGAGACAGGAATGAGAAAAGTAAGACTTTATTAGCAGGGAGATTTCACTGTGCTGCTCCCTCTCCACCTCCACAATGCGAAGCAGCACAAAATTCTACTCTCTGTGGCAGATCACCATTACTAATTACAGTAGCACCTTTAAATGTGCAACATTTTCTCAAATAGTTCCTGGGACATTTCATTTGTTACTCTTCCTTATGACAGCTTTGCCGGTGTATGCATCCAGGTGGGAGGGAGTGCTGTGTGGTGTTCTTTCATCACACTGAAGGAACAAATGAAGAAACAAGTGGACAGGCAGAATGAGTGAATTACCCTAGGAACAGCTGGGGTTCCCATCTATCCAGGAGAAGTGACACCCCTGAATTATATTTACTGGCATCTCATGAAGTATTAAAAATCAACAGCTTTTAGTGAGACAATCTACAACCATCTATTTAATATGCAGCCTGGACATTCAACCAAGTCCACAGTCCTTCACAATTTAATTGTGTTATTGACGAGGGCCAAAACACACCAAATCCTGACTTTGATTTATGCCTTTCCCATTGGTGTTTGTAAAACATAGTCTATTAAAATACTAGGTCTTTTAAATGGGAACATAAAATACCACAGTATCAGTCAATATTTTCCCAAGCCCAGCCAGCCCACGATAATGTATTTAAGGAAATGATATGCAGGTGCAGAATATAAAATTAAATTTGTCTTTACTTTTCTTAGCCAGATCTTTCCCAAGGAGTCCATACAGTGATGTGAACCAGAAGGCAGAACAGAGGCTGAACTGTAACTCCTCATGTATCCAGAGTTTGATATCAGGGACTAATTCCCGTGGTTGGGGCTGGGAACAACTGGGGTTAGGGTTCTGTGGCTCAGAAATCCTTTGAGCAAAGAACAGGTGACTCTCTGCAGGCAATAACTTTGCAGAAAGCCCTGTCATCTGCATCCTGACCAGACTCTCTGCCTTTTAAGAATTAGTAAGGCCGATCCTACTGATTTCACCCAGTGGTGCTCTGCATCATTTTGGAAGATGTCACTAATCCATTTCTCCAGCAAAATCCAAGGCAACCTGAGTCTTCTCTTTCTCTTCTTGACATCTGCAACAAGTAAGTTATAACCCTGGGGCTGCCATCTCAGCTAAGCCACCAGCAAAGGCAGGGTCAACACTCACAAGCAGTGCCCCCGGCCAGGTTTGCATGTGATAGAGGGGGACCTTTGGACCAGTCCTCATGTTGATAAGTTAATCTCTGCTTGGGAAACCTCAGCTGAAAGAGCTCCTGGTACCTCTGTGTGGTGATGCCGGTGAAGACCTCCACAGATGTTCTGCAATGCTGAAACCGATAGTCAGTCAACTGTCAGACACAGGGCTTGGGAAGTGCCAAATGTGCCCAGGCTGTCGTGTTGAGTGATGTGGGTTCTTGCCAAGAAGGGTAGAGATGGCTAAGTACTCCTGACCTCGAAGAGTTTATAGTCCAGGAAACATATAGTCCAGGTTGGTGCAAATGGCAGAGCCAGGGCTCTAGCTTAGATCTGTCCCACTTCCTGGCCACACTCTGAACCTCATCACTGCATGGCCTCTATTTCTTGCTCTGTTTCTAGTTTTTATACATTATTCAGCAACATGGACCATCACATCAACACAGAGCGGTTAAGTGTTGTGCATAATAAATACTTACCATAAATATTTGATCAGTGCTGCTGTCCTGGTATTCAATGAGCTGTTAACTTTCAACTAATGGGCTTGTGACAATTTACCCACAGCCATTAATCTTCAGTACTGTGATTGTGCTGCTGTTCAAACCAGACCCTGGTAACCAGGACAGTGCATCTGGAATGGAGCTAAGGGGAGCCCCTGGCCCACGACCAGCTGAGATTTGCAGAAATACAGTTACTGGACATTTTGCTATTTGAGTATTGCCATAGTCCAAATGTTTGTGTTTCCCCAAAATTCTTATGTTGAAACCTAACCCCCAAGGTGATACTATTAGAAGGTGGAACCTTTGAGAGGCAGTTAGGTCACGAGGGCAGAGCACTCATGAATGAGATTAGTGTCCTTACAAAGTGGCTGAAGCGAGACCCCTCACCGCTTCCACCATGTGAGGACATGATGAGAAGGTGCCATGTATGAACCAAACAACAGGCCCTCACCAGACACAGGATTTGCCAGTTCCTTGATCTTTGACTTCCCAGCCTCCAGAATTGTAAGAAATAAATTTCTGTTGTATATAAATCACCCAGTTGATGGTATTTTGTTATAGCAGCCTGAATGTACTAAGAAAGTAGTATCATTTTAGTTTTCATTTAAAAATTCCCTAGGAATTAGGAGTGTTAGAATATGGAAGGCAGGGAGGTAGAGCAGAAAGAGCACTGCCTGAAATGAGGTCAGGATACCTGCTGCTACAAATCTGCTGTATGACCTTGAGCTCTAAAGTCACAGCTGTTCCACACCTCAGCCTCCTCTTATGTCTATAAAAAAGTCTCCAACTCTAAATGCCAATGGATAAATTTAGGTGTCAGAGTTGTTAAAATTTAAAATTTCCTTTTGATATGTTTTGTGTTCTTAATATCTCATGGAAAGAGTTATCTTTCAACGCTACGCATGTAACCTACTCAACCTAAAAAATGATGATAATAAAATCGTGACTGATACCAGGGCGATATAGTATCAGTATATCTCCCTGGTATCAGTCACGATTTTATTATTTATCAACAATAATAAATAATAAAATCATGTATTTTATGTATTAATATAATGTATTAATATAATAGTATTATATTATAATAATATAATAGTATAATACTATGCATTATAAGACCTGTGCTCCTAAGACCCAGACCTGAGCTCCTTAGGTAGTAAGGATAGAGGCAGCCATTCCCTCCCAGTGAGAGATATGCCACACGCCCTTTCTTCCTCCACACACATAGGCTAGTGAAAAACAGGGCGGGTCAATGTTTTTTTCTGCAAGAAATGTCATCTGAAGATGTCTGAGTGTGGGTAATGCTCTTGTCTACTGACTCACTGCCTATGGTGGGGCCGTCAAAGCACTGCACCTGCTGCAACATTGTGCTTTTCGGCAAAGGAAAGTGAGCAGATCTGATTCTGTGACTGCGGTCACTTTCCTAAGGTTAACTTTGCATGAAGTCAGGAGCTCAAGAAAGAACCACACTTCCTCAAACCAGGCTCACCAGAGTGGAGGTAGGGGAGTCAGTCTGGGGAGGCGGAGGGGAAAGGATCATTTTCTATCTGCACTGTAGACGACAAACACCTGCATATTTTGAAGTCAGGGTTGTACAAAAGTGATTCACTCACTCTTGCACCTGGGTCATTGCAGGAGTCCTGGAACAAGTTAGAAGGCCAAAGACCCTTTTCTACTGGACTCTACAAAGGTGTGCCAAACTCTCCAGCTGGGGTTGGGTGCCCTTATTCAACTGGGAGCTCTAGGAGCTGCCACCTGGCATTGCCATTTTCTGCTCAGGACTCTGCCATGTGTTCTGGCCCCCACTTGTAAGCACAACTTACTCCTTCTGAGTCAACAGAGCCATGCTTGTCTAGTGGGTAGAATGCCTGGGTTCCATCTCTGAACTCTCCCCTCAGCAGCAGGCCTGGCTGTGGCTTGTCCAGTAAAATGACATCTTCATGGTCAGCCTATGCTAGCAGGTCCAAATCAAGAGTCCTAGGCCCTGGGAAAATAACCACACCTTATCTAGAGAGGTCAGTCTGCTTGTTAGGAATACTGCCAGTGCCAGTGATTCATAGGCACACATCCCAGTTTCAGACAACTGCAGGTCTGGCCATGACGCTCTCCAACTCTCATACACATTAACAGACACTAGTAACCCCTCCTTTTCCCCCTGAGATTACCTAAGGGAGGGGAAACCAAAATAAACACAAGCTGTCCATGCCTCACCTCTCCCGAGTGAAAGCAGGTAACTGCTAGAAATACATTTTCCCACTGGTCAAGCCAGAGACCCCTTTGCCTTTGGTGGCTGCATTAGTTTCTATCCTGATAGGTCCTGTTTCAAGGGCTGATCTGTGTTTAGATAGTATCAACATTTAGCAGGAGGCCCTCCCACACCCCTTTCCCTTTGGGTTTGGGAGGTACAAAATCTTCTCCTCCATTCCTTCCCTGTCCCTGTGTTGAGGATCCTCAACCACCAGTATCAATTCTCCAATCCCTCAACCATGCTCATTATGTGACTGAATAGGGCAGGGTCAGTAAAAAAAAAAAAAAAAGATATATATATAAAATATATATGAAAATGATTACAAATAATAGTAATTTAGATTTATATGCACTACATACTGTGCTAATAGCTTTGAACTCATTCAATTCTCTGAATACTCTAGGAGGTACTTATCATTCTCATAAAGAATGGTGCTCTATTTTACTGATGAGAAAACTGAGGCTTAGAGAAATGAAGCATTTGCCCAAGGTCACCAAGATGGTAAATGATAGAGCTATACTCAAACACAAGATGTTAACTACTATTCCATATTGCTTTCCCAACTACCTAGCAAACTTGGCCAGAGTATCAGGGAAACAGGGCTACCAGGGTCAAGAGTTCAGGCCATCTGGTTAGGTGATCCAATTCAGTGTTTGTACAGCCCCCTCTGGGAGGGACGCCTACGTGGATGACATCCAGGTATTGTCTACTCCACCTTAGGAAGAGCAATTTCACAATCTTCCTTGGTAACCTGGTTCATGGTTTAATCATTAACCTAAATTCTTGTTTTAGCAGAATTTTATCAGCGCACTATTGATTGCTCTATTCTGTGTAGGAAGACATGAAAGATAAATGCCTGTACTATCACCCTTCCTAGAACTGAAGATTGTTACAAAGTTATTCCCTTTAGCCTTCTCTACCCAACTCAATAACTTAAATGTTTCCCCAGATTTCCACTATCCGTTCTCCCATTGAAATCACGGAAGCTGCTGTTGTTTAACGTTAAAGAAGCTGACGCTATAATGCCAGCATTTCCATATCATCATTATCTCTGTGTCACAGAGACTGGAGAAAGGAGGAAGGAACTAGGGAGTCCTTAAATCCAAGTTCACTCTCTCTGCATCTGCACCAACAGCAGCAATCTGAGGCTCTGGCCTCCAGCAGGGCTGTCTGCATTTTCAGGCAGATCTGGCCGATTCTCCTTGAAGGAACTCGAAATGGGCCCCACAGACAACAGTGCATAAAGACCCTGTCACGACAGAGAATGAATAAGACGACAAGACAGGGTTGCACAAAGGGGATGCAGGAAGAGAAAGCAGGAGTCATCCACTCAGAGCTGGATCCCCAACTGGACCTGAGCGTGAGCCTCCAGAAGAGGTCACCGCAACTCAGCTGGGGATATTTTTCTCATTGCTTTTTAGGTTATCCATCTTTGTTTCCTCAGCAGAAGTGGGGTTTCTGTTAAAGCCAGTTACTTTTTTTTCCCAAAAGGTCACCCGAAAAGTGTATTTTAAGGGCCAGATCGTAAGTCTGACATGCCAACACAAGTCATCAGCAGATGTTGTTTCTGGGAGCCTAAATTCAAACCACTAACCAGAAAAAAACTGCCCTTTGATCTGAAACACAAGAACAGTAATAAATCCTCTTTATCACCTGACCAACAGGGCCTCTCTTTCCTTTGGTTTATGACTGCCTTAGATAGCTGGCTGCCAATAAAAACTGCCCCTTTCCCTTCTAAAAGGCGCCGTTCTCAGCCAGTATGAGAATGTGCAGAGTGCGCACTCAGTCAAGCAGGAAATGCCCTTCTCTGGATGCAGGGGCTGCAGGGAGTATTGCTGGCAGCTCAGCGCTGGTCCGGTCAAGCTCAGAGCCCCAGAATTGAGGCCCTGAAATAACAACCCACCCCTCTCAGAGGGAAAACTAGCCCCGAGGTGCATAGTTCCCTGGGACTAGGGCTTGCTTTGTGTCTGGTGAAGAGATACGGACACAATGGCAGACTCAGGATAAGAAAGGGACAGGATGGAAAAGCAAGCACGAGCAGCCTCACGTCCTCCATGTGTTGGCTAAGTGGGGCAGGGATATTCGAAGATCTGATCTCTTCTCCCCCACCCACTATTCTGTGCCTCGATAATTGAGCCCTAAACTTCTGAGCAGGAACTAAAGATGGTCCATAGTTCCTAAAGATCCAAGATCAGAATGTCAGAGAAACGGATGAGGACATCAGAAAAGAGCCAAAGAAACCAGGTACAAGAAGAAATTTTCCACGACTCAGGTGTTTAGTAAGTAGCAGATGGGAATTACATAACGGGGAAATAAAAAGCTTAATTTTGTATCTCATGACAGGAAAATACTGAAATAAAGTTTCTTGGCACTGTAGCTCCCCAACACCCCAGAGCTGAGAAGCCCGCCCCTCTCTTGGCCCACCTTGTGCGCAGTTTCTGCAAACTGCTGGGCACTGTTCTTCAGGTCTTCTGTCTTCTCCTCCGCTCGGCCTAATCTCTCTCCGCGCTCATTCAAGGCCTGGCTTGCCTTCTGCACTGCGCTGGTCACGCTGTCGGCAGCTGAATGGAGGATGCTGTTTCCTGAAAGGAGGAGAGCAGGAGCATCAGAAGCTGGCTCGGCTGACCCACAGTGACCAGACTCCTGCAGGGTGAGTACCCTGTAAGAGGAAGGCAGGTCACACTGCAGAAAGCCTGCTCCTCTAGTGTCTAGGAAACAGGCCGACGACATTTCTTTTGATTGGGTTTGACTGACGCACTTGCAGCAAGAACAGCCATTGACTGCAGGACCTAGGAAAATCCTAAATGCTTCTTTATAATCCCATCACTAACACGCCAGTTATTTCCATTCTGCCAGTATCTGATGAGGCTCAAAAGGATGGGGCCTGTCTGGATTTACAACTTGGCTTGCAAAGATAAATGAAAACATTGACAAGTTCACAGAATTAGGCAAGTTCAGTGAGACATATCTGGATCTTATGTTATTTCCTTTTGACCTGTGGTTTCGGTGAATAACCATAGGAAAACTGGGACCACAGAACTTTTCTAGACAGAATGCTCTATATATTCCTTCCAACTCTTCTTCTTCATTTTACCCCTTCATCCAGCAAGTAAAGAACACCCCAAAATGTACAGCTTCATGTACGAGCTATGATCCAGTCTCAAAGCGCAGAGTAGATGTGTCTGCTCCCAACCTTGAATTCTGTACCATGGCTCGGATGCTTGGGACTCCTTACCTCTGATCTCTAGTATGTGAAACACGGAGCCTCAGGACCATACTTAACCAGCAGGTACAAAACAGTGACAGAAACCAGCCCTAGAAGAAACTTGGCACTTCCAAACTCAGGAGTGGTGATACCAAGAAAGTTGAAAGCCATTGCATCTCAAAGGGTCACACATTCCTGACATCCCATTTGCCAGGATTGGGCAGCAAAATTCAATAGTGAAGAACTTGCCGATGCATAAATCACTGAGAAATAGCAACTTGCAAAATGACAACCAAAGGAAATTTATAGCTGTATTTTGTTAACATTAGAGTGTGAGATATTTAATGGCATTTTATAAAATGGCTTTATGCCTTTGAATAAGTTTATTACATCATTTAACTTTGCACCTGGGATGGATACATCCAGCCACAGACAGCTTTTAATAGAAATGCAATTTCCACTGGTCTCAGCGGCAAAGGTTTCTTAATTTCTCCTCTTTGGGCACTGTCTGTGGTTTGTGGAAAAGGATCTCAGGCAAAGAAAGTGCCTTGACTGGAGGAAGCACTTAGTAAATGTTTTTCTATTTTTCTTCTTTAATGATGGATTTCAAGGGATTCAATTATGCACTAAGGGGAGGAGAATGGGGTTAACTCAGTGTTACTCAGTTGCATCAAGCACTACATGAACCAAGATAAATCAGCACAGATAAACAGGGAGCAGAGGAAGTGCAGGTTCTAGGTAAATCTGGTTGAATGCAAGGTTGGAATGAAAGGTCTCGGTCTTCAGAACAGATTTAGGAGGAGAAATCTTGGTCCCCTTTGCTTTCATATCATACTCATAACTATGATAATAACCTATCCATATGCTCAACACTTGAATAGCACTTTGCAATCATACAGCACCTTCACAAATATTATCTCACTTGATTGTCACAATTCTACTGACAGGATTGAGACTAGCAGAGGTTAAGAGGCTTGCACGAGACTGTATCACTAGGGAAGTGACAGGGACAGAACTTGAGCCTGGTTTTCCAGTGACTTTTCCTTATTCTCTACCTTGTTCTTTGCAGATACAGTGTTGGTCCAGAGAAGCAATCACTAAGACAGAATTGTGGGCAGACTGGTATACAGATAGGTTTTGACAGGTTATTTCCCAAGGTAACGCCTGACCGTTTCTGTCCTCAAGGTACTCCTCTTGGTAAATTAAGAGTTATTACCCATGCCACATCGAATGTCAAGTTTTCTCAAAAAAGGAAGAGGCCAATGGGGTGGAACAGGAAGATGGAGAAGGGCGCAGAGGAGTTGGGAGAGGGCACAAGAAAATCTCCTTTTTCTGTCTCCTTCCATTTATTCACAGTTTAGCCACCAGGGGACTGGGAAAAGATATGGCAGGGAAGCTGCAACTTCACCACTAGGAATAGCTGCCTGAAATCAAAAGGATTTTAGAATTAGCTACTATAAAATCAAGAGGGTGTATAAGCAAGACTTGCCTTTTCCCACTGGAATTGACCTGCATGATCTTCACATCGTGCTTCTGGAATGAACCCACTACACATAAGCCTTGCTGCTTTGTTATTTGAAATTAATCTTGCACGTGATGTCAGGTAACATCACACTCAGTTTTATATGATACTGTTTAGCAGGAGTCATTATAACTCATAGAGAACTAGATGCTGTCTTCACTGTTGAAAGATGGCATTGCTGACTACTGCCAATAGGAAATCCACCTTCAGTTATTTTCAGGCATCAGGATGAATTTGAACAAATTTCATTTCCTCAGTTGAAAGAACCTCTTCCAGTTTCAATTCTACCCACATTTTAGGCCCAGTTAAGTCCCATCACCTTTATTAAGCTTCAGATCAATTCTAATCTCTCCCTCCACTCAACTCCCTAAATAATATCTATATCCTTCTTGGTTACTTAATTAAGTACAATCACGGGCAACTCTTCTCCTACTTGACTTTTTCACCTGTAGATACAATGACTTCCCAGCTGGATTACAAATTCTGAGTACATCATTTCGCTCTGTTGACAATTCCCTAAATCTTTATTATTTCTCTTCTATTGACCTAGATCTTCTGCTGACTTATTTTCTTCTATCTGGGATCTTCTTGCTCAAACTGTAATCCCAGGGTTCTTCCCCTCACTCTCTTCTCTTTTGCACTCTACAGACTCTCTCTGGAGCAACCTCATCCAGCTCCTGACTTCTATAACCAAATCCTTATCTTTCACTAGGTCATGCTGCTGAGCTCCAGGCCCATAGGTTTTCTTATGGAAAACTCCAACAGAATGACCCAAAGTCATCTTGAGTTCAGTAAGTCAAAACCTCATCTCATTATCTTTTCCCTTCACACCTACTTTTCCTTTGGGTCCCCTGCTTAGTGAACAACCCCAATTATCTGCCCAGGTCCTTAATCCAGCCAGAAATCTGGACACCTTCCTCACAATTAAAGGTCACCTCCTATACAGCTCTCTACACTCTGCCTCTTTACCAACCTCCTGCCTCACATATACACACAATCTTTACCACATCTATGATAATAACTAGAAATAAAATTGCTGGTTCAAAGCACATATAGGCTCTTGGTGTACGTTGAAGATTGCTTCCCTGAAAGATTTATTCAACATTCAAAACCATTCATGAAGTACATACTATGTGCCAGGCACTATTATGTTGACACAATTGGCAGAATGACTTTAAGGGAGTGATTTAATTTTTCTTATCTGTAAAATGTGGGTTGTACCATTTACCTCATGTGCCTACTGTGGAGATGAAGATGTACATGCAGTGTCTGCAGGTACTCAATGGAAGTTTGCCCTCCACCCCCCCTTAAGACTACATCTTCTATGTAACTTTGAAAAAAATGGCACATCGCACCCAATTCCATTGCATGTCACTCTCTCTTCTCTACTATCTTGGGGCTAAGTGTTTTGAAGCTTTCAGGAGATACTCCTTACATACCTTTGTATATCCTGCTATGTGTAGCACAGCATGTTGCTCAGAGAGGGAGTTGAACACATATTTATTAAATCACGCATGTTTTGTAAATAGGACGCCTAACTCAAAAGTTGGGACTCATCATATTGTACTGAATTAAATCTGGAAATAAAGCAGCCTCCTGAGGCAGACGGCATAGTAATTCTTTCTAAATAGACAGGAAGCATATTAATACTCAAATTTATTCAAGCAGTCTGAGAAGCTGTCAACCACGGCAAATAAAGTCAACTACTTTTGGAATTAGTCTCTGGAGAGTACAGCAGAGACCAATCTTGCTTCATTGATCTTGCCTTCATATCAGTTCCACTTAATGTGTGCTTTTAAAAAAATATATACGCTGACATCTTTTACGTTAAGTGATTTAGAAGACTTCATTGAGAGAGCAACTGGAGATAAAGCTATAGCATTGTGTTCAGTCACTGAGAATACAATGGAAAGAAATTTAAATGTATAGAAAAATGAGAGAAAAGAGTAAAATATATTGAGAAGTGATAAGTGAAGAGAAAGGAGGAAACTTTTTAAGAAGCACATAAAATACACCAACAGTTCAATTATCAACATAATTTCATTTGATCACGCTACACATCAGGGTGTATCTTGGTAATTAAAATCCTTAATTCTATTGCTAGTAAAAGGCAATTTCAACAGAATTTTCAGCAGCTACTTCTATGAAATACACATAGAGATATTTGAAATGTAAAATATTCATCCTGTTTGGAAAATAAGGCAGCAGGAAAATAATCTAAAATATAAATAATAAATATATGCCCATCTATACTCAGTGCTGAGTCAATGTGCTCATTTAAGAACACTCTTTTAAAACAGAGATTTCTTAATAGTTTTGCTTGAACTACTTCTATTCCATAATCAATTTAACCACTTAAGAATAACTATCCAATAAACCCCACTTATCTAAACTTAGAGGAAAACCAATTTGAATTTTGGGAAAATACGTATGTATAAAATAGATAAGAGTTCTAACAAACACAAAAATTGGCAGGGAGACCTATTATATTTAATCTGTATATAGGCCAGGAACATTAGTGACTCTCATATAATCTGCCAAAAGTATTCAATAATAATTTATTCTCTGCACAGATGAAGTAAGCCCTATTCTATTCACATCTACTGAGTTATTTTTCTTAGCAAAGTTATTTTCATGGGTAGTACCTAAGGTACAATTAAGTCTTGTTCAGTATAAGTAACATGCAAATTAATTTCACAGGATACAAAAAGGTAGGATTCACCTGAGACGGTGTTTTTTTCTTTTTTCTTTCACTCTGTGACAATTTTATTGCTCAGTGTTTCTACCACTAGAACACATATTAGCAAAAGAAAAGTTACATAGAGATCTGGCTCCCTGAGAGCCTGGTCTCCTTT